CCTCCCACTCCTGGCCTCTGCAGAGGGGTGGGTGTGTGGAGGGAAGGTGGGTCTGCCCTGGTCGAACAGCAGAGGCATTGCCTGTTAGTCTCATGCCATTCCGAGTGCCCCCAGGGAGAGTCAGCCACCTTCTGCAGAGAGGCAAGGCCAGAAGGCAGGGGCCTCCCCTCTGGTGGCCACCAGGGCCTGTGGTACAAGCAGTGCCGGCTGCTGTCCTCTCTGGCCCTTGTCTCCTTCCAGCCTCTCCACTATTAGCAGAGGGGCAGAAGTTCATAGTAGACCACTTGACAGGTCGACACAGGCCACCCCCAACCCCTGGCCCTGGAGGAGGCTCCCCAGTGGCCTCCTGGAGCCAGGAGAGATGGAACTGAGCTGTATCTGCTGCTCCCGACAGGACCTCACAGGGGGCGCCTTTGAGGACAACCTGAGGTCGCTGCACTTGCAGGAGGGCCAGGACTTCCTTCACTTCAGCTGACGGACCCACGGCCGCTGCTCCCAGGTGGGTCTTTTCACCGAAGCACCGTCTGAGTTTGTGCCTTTATGATGCTTAATTTCCTCTACATTCTGCTCTTATTCTAATTTTCTTTACAGTTAGTCTTCTGCTTATGTTCAGCTCATTAATTTCCAGCCTGTCTTCTCTAATGTATAATTCAAGACTTCACAATCACTTACGCACCACTTTAGGTGAATTCTATCTGTCGTGATTATTTTATCTTTCATTATATATTTTATAATTTTCATTATTTCTTTTAAAAACATCTTTTTAAAATTTGTGTGTACACACACACACTTGGGTTCTGTAACTGTCCACTGGGTCGAGCTTTTCTTCTTCAACCGTGCCTTATGACACTTTATTGAAATGTATCAATTCAGTAAAATACACTGTGGTAGTAGATGATCAATTTCTTCTTCAATGTTTGCTTTAGTATCTTCTGAGACTGGGTTACAAATGTAGGAAAGTTCTATCTTCCTGTTGAACTGAGCCTTTAATCATCATGTAGTAATCTGTTCCTAATAATTTGCCTTCCCTTAACTGGTGAACATTGTCATTAACATAGAGGTTTTAATCCATTTACATTTATTGTGCCCTAAAATATTTATTTCTTGTGTGTGTGTGTATTGCAGCGTGTTCTGCCTTTTCCTCTTGCCATTCTTGCATATTTTGATAGTGTATTTTTTATTCTTGTTCCATTTCTCTCCTACTAGTAGTACAGAAGTTATCTTCCCCATATATTAACTGTTTGTGACTCTAAAAACTTCAACATGCACTTAGCCAAGCTGATAACTGAATTATCTGCACTCTGTTCCAGGAGAACATAAAGACTTAAGATGCTCTAAATTCAGCCACCAACTCTGCTGCTGACTTATATGCTGCTGTTGTCCATTTTAAGCAATTCTATATGCTTTAAAAAAATCCACATATCAGCCATCTTTCTGTTTTTATGGTCACAGTTTATTGCTTTCCTTGCTCCACATTCCTCCAACTATCCAACTGTGATCATTTCCCTCCTGCCTAAAGTTTATCCACTAAAGCAGTGGTTCTCAACCAGGGATGAATTCACACCCAGAAGATATTTGGCAATCTCTGGAGACATTTTTTTTTTTCCTTTTGTCACAGCTGGGTAGGGGGATGGCTACTGCCATCTGGGATGTTGCTGAATAACCTGCAATACACAGGACAGCTCTCACAACAAATAACTCAACCCCAAATATTAAGCTAAGATTAAAAAACCAAACATGCATTAGAACAGCATATTTTTATCTAAATGACTTAATTTTGTTCTCTTCTTTAATGTTATGCTATGGGCACAATTCAAGCAACTTAACAGCTATTTTCTCTCAGCCTAATGAAGATCTTGGTCTACTCCTTCCTCAGCTCCAGGGCTGCTGCTGGGAAACTGGTAGTCATTTATATCACTCTGTCCTTCTTACAGTCCTGCAGTTTCACTGTGGCAAGTCTAAATGGTTAGGCTTCTGTATCTGGGGACTGTTGCATGTCAGTATGGAGTATCTGCATCATTTCATTTCATTCCGAGACCCCAATTACCCAAACGTTAGACATTCTTCAATGTCTCTTGATGTTGCTTTCGTCTTTTCCAGTTCTCCAGATAATTTTTTCAGATCTTCCAGTTTTCTAACTCTCTCTTCAGCAGTGTCTAAGCTATCCATTGAGCTTTTAATTTCACTTCTTACATTTTTAGGGGCTCTATTTTTTTCAAATCTCTTCTTGATAATTTCTAGCCCTTTTCAAAAACGTACTCATAGCCTACATTCTTCCAGAGAGGTTTTATATTTGCATCTTCTGCCCCTTGTCTGGAAATACCACTGGTCAAGGCCAAGTCAATCGAATTTTCCACTTGAGGAGTTCTGGGGATCATACAGTTAGTATTAATTCAGGCCACTTCAAGGGAGACTGAGATAAGAGTCTTGCGCTGTTCCTTTGAGAAAGATGTATTTAGGGTCCCGGCTCTATACAGGGGTCTCCTATTACATCTGGCCCTGGGCCTTACAACCTCTCATCCATTCTGCTATCAAAACAGCATGACTGGACTCCAGGGAGGGTTTCTGGTTTGTGCCTAGAATGTGTCTGTGGGTGCACAAATCCCGCACCAGCTCCCCGCTTCCAGGGATACTGGCTTCTTGCTGCTCTCTAAACTCACAAAGCTTGCTCCACTTCTGGGACCACAAGCATTCTCTTTTCTGCCATTGGGCAGTTTGTTTCGACTTCTGCCCAAATGCTGCCCCTTCAGAGCAGTTTTCTGAACACCTCTCCTAGGGGTCAACACCCAACACACCGTTGCATTGCCCACTTTATCTTTCTTCGTAGTGCTCAGTATTGCCTGCCTTGATGGGTGCTTGCTTGTTCATTTGCTCTTGTCTGCCCCAGCTATCATGTGAGCAAGGGGTTCCTCGCCAAACTCCATCACCTGGACCCTGGTGGGCTCCACAAACGGCTGCTGAATGAAAGAGGCTTTCCAGGCCACCAGTTACCTGGTGAGCACAAGTGCCCCAGTGATGGATGGGATCCAGTAGGAAACAGGCAGTAGCCAGTGGAGCGATCCACTTTCCTTGGGTTGCTAAGTTAGACCGACATTGAAAGAAGAACTGCTTTGCCCTGTCACTGATGGGCCTCGGTGAGGAATCGACCTGCCTCCATGTCTTAAAATGCCATTTCTCTGGAATCTTCTTTTAATTGCACTAAGAACAGTTCATCATGTTTTTCTCAGAAGCCACTTGTTCCCTCCATCCTCAGTGCATCCCCGGCCAGCAGGAGCTTCGTGAGCTGCAGGCATAGCAACGGTGCACCCCAGTTCCACACCCAGCAGGCGCAACCACAGAGTCTCGTGTGTGCTGACCACAGGAGCCGAACCTTTTCCACCGTGTGGACTCGTGGTCAAGGCTGGGCCTGGTCAGCCAGGACCCTCACCACGTGACCCCAGCCAATCGAGGGGACAGTTCGAGGAGGAGGAGACCCCAATTACACAGGTTGGAATAAAATGTTTAAATCTCGTGAAAATGTAACACAAGGCTCTTTTAAGGGATAAACACTATTGGCCACCAGGTCAAGCACAAGGACGGTAGTGTGTTAACCCCACACTCCTGTGTGGCCAGATCATACACATTCCGTGAATAGCTGTCTGCTAAACAGACAGCATGAACTGTCACAGTCCTGGCCTTGTGGTCCTGGTGACCTCACAAGTGAGAACCACGACTGAGCCTTGCCTCACAGATGCAGGCGGCATCTCCCAGTTCTGGGCCTGCCCATGTTCCTGTGTCCAGACCCCATCCCCACCTGAGAGAGCAGGCCGGGGAGCCACCCCAGTCTATACCACGCACACGGCACCCCTGGGCTCTTCACCCAGGGAAAGCGCTGCTCACCCAAGCCCTTGGGCCTCTGAGTAGCCACACCTGAGGCTGCTTTGGTGCTGCTGGCGGTGGGGCGGTGGTTCTGCACCTCCAGCCCTGTGAGCACAGCACAGGTCCCAGGTAGATGGGTGTGGGTTGCTACCACAGTGAAATTTTTATACACGTTCCCCTCACCAGCTTTGGGATGGATCAGCATGAGCTCAGACACGGAGACAAAGGTAGGCTCCTGCCCTGTGCTTAAAAACCCAAGTGTAGACTCTGCCCAGGCTCTCCTAAGCCAGTGTAATCGTTTCAGGAATTGTATTTCCCGTATTATTGTAGAGGCACACATTGGACTCTGACAATTCCCCTTGCAGCAGACATTTGTGAAGCTGCTGGTCTGCACACCCATCAACCAGTGACCCCTGCACTGCAGGGGGACCACATGCACGATGCTCACGTGTGCACAGGCAGGAGGACAGCACCCCCACCAGGCAGATGGTCCCAGAAACAGCATCTGCGCAGCACTCTAGACCATGCCTGCCACCAGGGCTTGTCAGTTCTCTGGCATTTGAACCTCTGATTTAACATTCATTTCTCTCCAAGACTGGGCAGACCACCAGCTGTGGCCAGACGTCTCCCACAGCAGGGACAGCACCAGGCGAGAAGGGGGCCTGGTCTCCAGGCAGGAGGAGTGGAACCCAACCCCCTCTGGCTGACCCCTGGGCAGTGAGCCCCTCCATCACCCTACACGCATCAGGCTCAGAGACAAAAGGCAGGAACTTCTTGGTACACGATTTTATAGGAAGCACATCTGTGTTCAAGTGAAGGCAGAGGCATCCACCCCAGGTCATTAGAGGGCAGGTGCAGAGAGGAAAAGCTGTCAGCTGGTGCCAGCCTCCGAGGGCCAGCGCTACCCTTCAACAGCTGGAGGCACCACCGTGCCAGGCTTTCCACACCGGCCTCCCTCAGGAACAAGACATCCCCACCAGGCAGGGGTGAGGTACGGGCTCCAGAACTGGCTTCAGCAGGCGTGAGGCTGCAGAAGAGACAGGACAAGCTCAGGCTGGTCAGCTCCATCACACACCATTCCCAGCCAGGGGACCCTCGCCCCTCTGGGCCCTGTGTGGGGACTGACACTGGGTTCCTGCAGGCAACTATTTGTGCCGTTTCCCCACACGCGGGAGCCTGAGCTATGTGGCTGACAGGCGCTCATGACTAACGTGTCCTCGGAACGGCACCCTGTCTGGGGAGCGGGAAGGGAGGTTCACTGCACTGCTCTTAACCTGCATTCACACGTTTGAAATTTTTCCTAATAAAAATGTAAAAAGCACATTTAACTCCAAAGTCTGCTGTTGAGTTCAGCCTTTACACACAGAAATGGGGAGGCTGTGTCCTGATACTCAGCCCGGCCCCACTGCCCCCATGGATCTGGATGTGGTTCTCCTCCCCTCCTGCCGTATGAAAGGGGGCTGAGAGGAAAGAGCCGACCCAGGTAACGAGAGAGACAGGACAGCGACCTGGGGCCCAGCCCCCGTGAGAACTGAGGCACTTGTTTTTGTTACTTTAGAAGAAGAGTGACGGGCTGTTGAGGTGCACAGGGCAGCTTCTGGGGACCTCTCACCCAGCCCTGGGCCCACTGGTGGGAGGCAGATGAGGGGCAGGGAGGCACTCTTGGCATTTGGGAGTGCAGACAGACCCCAGGGTCAGGCATGAGGAGCCTGGATCAAGCTGATGCCAACCCTACCCCCTCCCCAGCCCCCCAAACATGCCCCAGAGCAAGTGGCCTAGATGCCACTGGGGCCCACAGGTGCGGGCAGTGGCCAGAGAAGGCAGCTCTGCGGGTCCCGTAATCCCAGGGGTCCTGACATGAGACGAGGGAATGGACCGTGTGGATGCACTGGCAGAAGCTGAGCACAGCCGCTGGCCCCAGAACCTTCGAGGGCTCGGGGAAGCACAGGTGCCTCATGCTGTGCAGGTGACAGCGTTACCTGGGGCACCAGCTGGGGCCTGGGCACACCCAGGAGGTCACACAGACGGTTGCGCTGCTCTCTCACGACTGCAAGCTCCGCGTCCCTGTGAGGAGAGGGAGCCAGGAATCTCTCAAGTGCCCACCTTACAACCTCAGGTGTGCAGAGGCCCCACGTCAGCTTCCACGGCAGCAATCGGGGAAAGGAGACCTCACCCCAGACATCTGCAGCCAGGCCGAGGGCAGAAAAGCCATCACAGGAGCCCGTTCTCCAACGGGGCCTCAGGCCCGAACCTTTTCCAGAATCGCAGGACGGTTCCTTCCCAACAAGGGTCGCCCCTCGGGGAGGACCACGCCCACACCCAGTGCAGGGGCTGCAGGAGGACAGACCAAGTGAGGCCAAGGAAGAGCTGACAAGGATTTTCGAAGTTTTAACTCAGCTGTTGATGCCAAATAAAAATTCTAGCAATGCCAATGCTGTGGAGATGTCTGGGGCATGTGTTTCATTTGTAATTTAAAAGATTCTCTTTAACTTCTAAGGATTTTTTTTTTTTTTTTTTAACAGAAAGGGGATTAAACTATAGGAGAAGCCCCCAGGCCCACCCTGCTAGTTCCTCCCTCCCTGACGTGAGGAAAGGAGGCTGCCCCGGCCCAGCCTTGCTGGAGGAGGCCTCAGCCCGCTCGGGATGCCTGGCTTCTTCACTGTCCTAGAGCCAATTATTTTAGAATCTGATCCAGAATGCACCTTGGTGTTCTAAAAACATCATTTTAAAAACGTGTCTCCAGAGCAGTAGTTAAGACGGCCAATCTCTCAATGGATGTTGAGAAGACAGCCCAGCTGCTCGTGGTTCCTCTCCTGGGACCACGGGTTTGTTCAGGAGCAGAGACGCTCACTCCTCCCCAAACCAGAAACCCTCGGGGACGCCCTGGAGAGGCCACCTCTGTCCTCCGAGGCCACAGCAGCTGCCCGGCGCCCGAGCTCTGTGGGAACCCAGCCCTGTCGGAAGGTCACTGTTCCAAGGAGACACCTCGGGAACGTCACCTACGACCTTGCTGGCTTCAACAGGTGGCACGGACCCCACAGACCTGTAGCAACGCACCGAGATCAGCACGGAGGCCCTCACAGGCGGCGCTCTAAACAGAGCAGCCGACTGGGACTCAGCAGCACCTGGGACTCCACCACCCCGGGTGCGCCACGGGGACGCCCACACAGCCTCTGGGTGCTTCAGTCCTGATCTCCAACACGGGGTGACGAGACTGCTCCCCTTTTAGAGGTGAGTGTGCAAGTGAGCATGTGTGTGAGCCAGCGTGGGTGCACATGCCCCCGTGTGTAAGGCACCATCACTGCTGCTCCCAAGACCACACCGGTTGGCCCAGGACACCTAAGCCTGCACTTTCCCCACTCTGCTCTCTCATTCAGACCGTCCTACCCCGCAACTCAACAGACACATCTTTCAAAACTGCCATTCTAATCCACCCACGGTAAAGAAACCAGCCCACGTTGTAAAGAAACATGTGCCTGCCACAGTAAACATGGAGAGTGGCGCTGTGGCCTCCTGAGGGTCTCCCGGCCCCGGGGAAGGGGGTGGACATCAGAGCAGAGGCGTGGGGAGAGCTTTTCTTGTTTCTGCCTGTGCCTCTTCATTTCCTACAGGTGCTCAGGCGGCCTATTCTGAGAAAACTGAAGAGAGGCCCAAGAGGCCCTCCCTGGGGGGCGCCTGGGGCAGCAGTACCCGCCAGGCCTTCAGTGCCCTCGGCTCAGGGCCACCAGACACAGCCTTGTGGTGGCACAGGTGGCCGTCCCCCTGGTGGGATGGATGGCTTTGCTGTGTTTCTGACACCTGACAGTATTCGGGGACAGGGTGGTTGAGGTTTCAGCTACAGCACCACTGCTGCCTCGTAAAATCCAAGCAGAGGCTGTCGAGACCTGGGAGCCCTCTTTCCTCCTATCAGAGGGTTTTGGGAGAGACGAGTAGACGTGGTGGGGAAGGGGGCGGCGCCAGGCCCAGGTGGCCGTGCAGGAAGGGCCTTCACTCACCACGCAGTGTCGCTGAGCACAGTCACCACCTCGTCCAGCACATCCGCGCCCACGACGTCACTGTAGGTGAGCAACGTCTCGTACACCTGGCTGGCCGTGCTCTTCCGGATCTGGGACAGGGACGCAGTGCATTGGCGGGAGGGAAGCACCACTGCCCCACCCCGAAGAGACGACAGGACCAGGTCAGGGAGCCCCGTCAGTGGAAGGCATCAGGAGGAGGGCTCTGACCCTCCCTCCCATCCCAGCCACAGCAGGAGGCCAGGAGGCGCCTTCCACGCCCATTAACCACCTCCTCCCTCCACAGACACACAGCTGCAGGCTCCCAGCAGTGAAGATCACATCATTCTTGTTTAAATGCTCTGTTAACCAACGTGCTCCCTCTCCAGAGAAGCAAGCTCGCCTGCTTTTTTCCATCAGGGAAGCAATCACACCTGCTCTCTTTGCTAGCGGTGCCCTGGTCATCACGTCTCACTGAGCTGGTGGTCAGAGCCCCGGGCCCACCCCTGGAGGTGCTGAGTCAGCAGGACAGGGCCCAGGAACCGCACGCTGAAGCCCCAGAGGTGCTGAGGCTGAGGGTCCAGCACCCGCTCGAGAACCGCTGTGTAACGTGAAGTTACTTTTGCCTTTTAGGAAAATGTCACCTTCGGATCATCTGAGGTTTTTTGGCAGCCAGGAGAAAAGAAATCCTAGAAGTCTAACAGCTGGGGAGTGCTGGGGATGAAGGGCACTGCCCCAGGTGTGTTTGAACCACTTCAGCCTGGATCCTTCTGGAAGCTCCTGAGCCAGTTCCCACGGCCAGGTCACCCCTCGATTTGTGTCCATAGAAATGCCAGCCGGACACCCCATCCTTGAAGCCAGAACACTGACGTCCGAGCCCCTTGACGGCTGCGTGCCTGGGATGCACCATCACCCAGGCGTGTTACAGAGGGGGCTCGGCTGGAAAGCACACCAGCGCAACAGTGCCTTCCAAGGCCTCTGTGTCACCAAGGGGCTTGAGTCCACACAGCAAACACACATGAACGGGGGAGGCACTCACCAGCGGGAAGCGGTGGCAGAGGAGCAAACACAGCTGTAGGAGGGCGCTCCTCCTCACGTTGCCGGGGAACTGCACCATCTCGCAGAACCTGCCGAGAGCAGCACACCGGCTGGATGAGCCCCGCCCCCACGCAGGCCGACCCCAGGAAGCCCCCGACCCCAAGACCCACACAGAGACCTGGGGAGAGCAGATCCGTGAGCACAGTGCGGCCCTGGAGCCCTGAGCCAGAGGTGTGTCTGTGTGCACATGTGCACTGTGCCTGCACAGGCGTGAGTGTCACACTGGGAGAGCCCACTGTGGGAAGGGAGGACGCTTCAGAGGATCTCCTGCAGGGCTGCTCGCCCTGCCACAAGGACCCCTGCCTCAAAGAGCCACAGAGCAGCCAAGGTGCCTATCGCTGGCTGGCGCAGCTGCCCAGTGTCCACCTAAGCGCCGCAGAGCAAGGCACTCGACAGCGACCCCCTGGGCACACAGAATTGGGGAGGCAGCCCCTGACCACATACCTCCTTTGTGGGTCCTCCCTTCCCCCCAGGGCAGAGTGTGAGGGCAGCAGGGGCGGAGCTCGCCTGTTCCGGCACCAGCACCTGGGCTGCCTCGCCTCCCACTGCAACGGCTTTGGACATTGGAACGCACAATCCTAGCCTAGCTCGAGGGGTAACACTGACTGCTCCTCTCCCGCCTGGAGCCTGCCCTCGGCCAAGGGAGGCTGCGCCCTGCCGTTGTGTCTAAGGCCAGCAGCACTTGAAACTCACACGGGGATGGCTGACAGCAGTTTCTGGACGTCTTTGGAATTCTTGATTTCTTTCTTACAAAGCGCAAGCAACTTCACAGCAAAGGGGTGGCTGGAAGAACAACACACTCTTTTGAGATGAGCTTTCACAGGCAGCCCCGGGACGCACACTTTTTCTGTCTCAAAGAAGGTCAACTCCGTCCTCCCAGTGCTCAGTCCAAGAAGCCTGCAGCCCTGTGGGCCCCTCTGCCGGCAAGTCCGCTGGTCCCCATCCCGGTACCTCCACAGGCCGGCCTGGTCCCTAGCTGCCGTGCCACCACCTGGCCGGCCTCTGCTCTCTCTCACCTGTGGTGCAGCAGCCCCCACGGGGCCGCCACCTCCCGCCCCAGGCCCCAGGGTCCGTCCCCAACACAGCAGCAGCCAGGATGCCCGTGCTCCTCCACCGCCCGCTCCAGAGGCTGCCTGGCCTGGCTGCTGCAGAGCCGGGGGAATTTGCCGACACACAGAGGACACAAGGCTGTGCGGTGTTGTTTGGAGCCTTCAGTGGCAGCAGGGACAAGGGTTGAGCTTGGTGCTGACAAAGACGCAGCCCCGATGAGCAGCTCTGAGAGGGCCCCCAGAAGGCCACTCCAGGGAGGAGAGGGAGAAGACACGCACCTGCCTCTCAGTGGGGAATGCAGCCAAGTTCCAGCCACCCGACAGGCCAGGAAACCCTCACTGCTGACCGTAGGTCAAGGAGACCCCAGGCTGCTGCTGCCCTCCCTCAGGTGCCCAGAAAAGGCAAACTAAGGTCCTGCCTGCCAAAACGCAGGCTTAGCCCAGGCCTTGGCTTGCTCTGAAGTGGAACCCCTCAAACGCAACGTCCGGAGAGTACACAATAGGAGACAAGTAAGAAGACAAACCAGCTCAGGCTGCAGCTCAGACACACCCAGCCAAACAGGCAGGGGAAGAGTGTTCAAGAGGATGGACACCGGGCACGGAGGGAAGGCCGCAGGGAACGGCCAAGCAGAAAGCGCGACAAGCAGATACGGAAACACACGAGACAAAAAACCTGCACCTGAAAAGACCGAAAACTCCCAGATAAGAATTCCACAAATCACAGTTCAAAGTCGTTTAGAGACATCTTCAGAGAGAATCAGCAGCTGGCAGGCGGGCCCAAGGTAATGAAGCAAAGAGAGAGGGAAAAGACATGTGAAAATTGCAGAGGGGGTGACGAGGGAAACGCATGAGCGTGATAATGACAGAAAAGCCAGGGAAGGAGCAAACCTGAGCAGGAGGCGGGAAACCCAGGCCGTTCCCAGGGAGCACAGGCTGACTCAGGTGACACTCAAAAGCAACAACCGAAGCCAGGAGAAAGTGGGAAAATTTTTTAATGTGCTGAAACAAAACAGCCGCCTGAATTCTATACACCCTCTGAAAATAATCTGCACATAAAATGGGAAAGCTTCACCAGCAGCAGACCCCACTCGAGGAAATCCAAGGGAGTGTGCTCTAGGGAGAGGGAATGCGAACCTCGATGCAGGGGGAGGGGGGCGGGTCCCAAAATCAGTAAGTGATGAGAGGCAAAGAAAGCATAAAAATGTGGAAAATTCAAAATAACGCACATTACACAATACCACAATGAACAGGAAACTATGTACATCCAAGACAAAATATCCAACAATAGTAGCATATAACTCAAGACGGAAGCACGCAGAACCAACATGTTCTAATATCCTTGCTATCGTCCAATAAGGACAAAATGTTGAAAACTGGACTTCGCTAAGAATATGTGGTGTCATTTCTAATTTCCAGGGTAAGCGTTAACAGAACAGAAAAAAGAGTAAAATGTCCCAAACAAATACATGAAAATAATGGAATGACAAAAGCAATTCTACTAATCCAACAAAAAGCACAGATGGGGGCAGGGAGGGGCGCTGGGAACGCAGCACAGGGAAAAGCCCTGTGAGTGGCAGACTGAGAACCAAGGGGATTATAAAGGTCATGAAGGACGCAGGTAAAAGCTACAGGCTAAATTTTTACAAAACTATACTGTTCTATGAGATGTACAAAAACATAAATACATGAAGATACTGAAAGTAAAAGAATGGAAAAAAGTATACAGTTCAAAGTCAAGTGAAGCAAGACAAAGAATGAGTGAAGCAAAAAGCATCCTAGAAATGAAGTGAGTGACAAGGGCAAGATTCAGCCCACAACCACGCTTCAAAATCTGAAAAGCCAAAACTGACAAAACCAGAGAGAAACACAAAGAGCTGTGTTCACAGAAGGACATGGCAGGA